CACCACCCTAGCCAGCTGCCCAACCGAGAAAGAGATGTCGGGCCTCGTGTGAACTGCTGCGTACAAGAGGCTGCCCACCAAGGACTGAAATTGCTGCTGCTCTTCAGCTTCAACCCCTTCATCCTCTGCAGCCTTCACAAGCTTGAATTCTGCTGGCAGGGGAGTTGCAACCTTGCGCTCATTCTCAATCCCATACTTCTCCCCCAGCTCCTTGATGAACTTCTCCTGGTGCAGCTTCAACCACCTGTGATCTGGATCCCTCTCCACGTGCATCCCGAGGTAGTACTTTACCTCCCCAAGGTTCTTGCACTTGAAGTTCTCCATCAGTTGCTGCTGCACTTTCTGGATCTCCTTCATGCTGCTGCTGAAGAGAAGAATGTCGTCCACATAGACCAGAAACAGCACCAGCTTCTCCCCCTCGCCCTTGAGAAAGAGGCTCTCATCACAGCTGCTGGTCCTGAATCCCATCTCCTCTAAAACAGCTGCCAACTTCTGGTACCAGCAGCGTGGCGCCTGCTTCAAGCCGTAGATGGACTTGTTGAGCTTGCACACCCTGCCCGTACCATCCTCATACCCAGGCGGCTGCGTCATGTACACATCCTCCTCTAAAATCCCATTCAAGAATGCCGTTGAAATATCCATCTGAATGATGAATTTCCCACTAACAGCTGCATCTGCCAACAAGACACGGAGGGTAGGGGGTTTGGCAGTGGGAGCAAAGATCTCGTTGAAGTCCTGCTTCTCCTTCTGCATAAACCCCTTCGCCACCAGCCTACTCTTGTAGATGGTGACCTGCCCCTTGTCATCGGTCTTGATCCTCAGCACCCACTTGCATTGTATCGCTTTCTTCCCATCAGGCAGCACCACCAGATCCCATGTCCTATTCTCCAGCAGACTCTGGTACTCAGCATCCCTAGAAGCCAGCCACTTGTCCCTATCTGGTCCAGCTAATGCCTCCTCCATGCTAGCTGGTTCCTCTGGTGCAGGGGCAAGAAAACAGTACGCAGGCTCATCCTCCTCATCCGGGTCATAGCCATGAGGTAGAATCAGCAATGCCTCTTCGGTCCCTAGCTGCTGCTCTGCTGCATCAGTTCCTGCAGTCAGCTTCTTAGTAGCCATACGGGTACGTCCTGGCCTGGAGACGGGTGTCTCCCATCCCTTCATAACGACACCCTTCGGCTTCTTAGTTTTTCCCTGCTGCTTCTCTCCTCCCTCGGGTCCAGCAGCTCCACTAGTGCTGCCGCCAGTTTCCACACCATTTTCTCCACCAGCAGATGCCTCCTGTACCTTCTCTCCATCACCATTTCCAGCAGCTGCCTCCTCTCCCTCCTCCCACACACTAGGAGTCAGGTCCAGCTGCATGGTGATCTGCTCCATCTGCTGGGACACCCTTGCCTCCGGCTGTTTCTCCCAGCTCCCATACATCATGCCCTCAATGAATTTCACATCCCTGCTGTCAAACAACACACCCTTGGATGGTTCCCACAGCAGCCATCCCTTGCTCTCAGCAGCCAGCCCCAAATGCACACACCAGATTGCACTCGCCCCCAACTTACTGCGGTAGGTCTTGGGGACGTGGGCGACTGCCATGCAACCGAACACCCTCAGCATGTCCACCGGCGGCTTCCTCCCAAGCCACCTCTCCAACGGCACCCACGAGTCATCCCCAACCTTGGTGAGCACCCTGTTCCTAGCGACAGTGGCGTGCCGGACAGCATGAGGCCACATAGAATTGCTCAGCCCAGATTCTATGAGCAGCGCCCTAGCTGTCTCCAGAATGGTCCGGTTTGCCCGTTCTGCTACACCATTGGACTGTGGGGTATAAGCCGTGGTCAGCTCTCTCTGGATGCCCTGCTTCTTGAGCCAGGCCGTCATTTCAGCTCCAAGGAACTCACCACCCCGGTCTGTCCTAATCCGCTTCACTACACACTCCGCCTGCTTCTCCACGAATGGCAGCCAATCGTCCCGTATCGTGGAGGCGGCGTGGTCCTTCTGCTTCAGCGGATACGCCCACATCAGCCTGCTCCAGTCATCCACAATTGTAAGAAAATACCGCTCCCCCTTGTGCCCTTGCATCGGCAGCGGCCCCACCAAGTCCATGTGGACCAGCTCCAAAGGCTTCTTGCTCCTGCCAGCCACACTATGGAAAGGGAAACGGGTGAACTTTGAAAGCAAACAGATTTCACAGTTGTCATCGGGTGGCTGTCCGTTCAGCTTCAGACCCTTAACGGCTCCATCCTTCTCCAGCTGCTTCAGCAAAGGCATTGCCACATGCCCTAAGCGCCGGTGTGCCGTTGCCCAATCTGTCTCCCCAGATCTGGCCGACACTTTCACACCAACCCCTCCAACGGCATTGCACTCCCCCTGGGATGCAGACCCCTCTCCAGCCTGCCCCCCACCATGCCACGCCAGGGCCGGCAGCTGCCACATAGATCTGTACACGTCCTTGCTCTCGTGCAGATCCCAAAGCACCCGATTGCCCAGCTTCCCCTTATAAGTGCGTGCCCCATCCGTGTTGGTGTTCACCCCAGCCTTGCCAAGCTTACGGAGGGAGATAAGGTTGGCCTTCAGGTCGGGGACGAAGAGAACGTCGTGCAGCACCACCGGCTTGCCATCCGCTCCCTTAAACGCAGCTCGTCCCGCACCAGCCACCTTCAACATGTGTCCAGAGGCGGAGCACACTTCATTGATCGGTGCAGCTCGTACTTCGTCCAGCAGGTCCTTGCGCGGCGTCATCGTCCAAGCAGCGCCTGTGTCCAACACCCAATAGTCTAGGGGGTGCAGCTCTGCTCCAACTTTGGCAGAGGCGTCTCCTTGCTCCCCCTTGTCTCCTACATGGAAGAATTGGCCCGCGGTGCGCTCCTTCTTCTTCTCCGCACCGCCGTTGCCCTTCGGGTTGTTGTCGGACGAATCAGCGACCATGTTGGCGCCGTTTTTCTGGTTCCTCCGTGCGCCGCCATCCTGGTGACGATTCTGGGGGGTCCATCCATCGGGTTTCTTATAGCACAAAAACCAGGGGTGCCCTTCCTTCTCACAATACCAGCAACTCCCTTTCATTTTGCCACCAGCACCCGACTTGCCCCCACGTCCAGATTTCGCACCGCGACCCCAACCGGTACCTCCTTGTTGGTCGTTGGAGTCGTCGTCTTTCTTTGCACCGCGTCCAGCACCACCGAAGCCACGTCCTCTGCCACGTCGGCTCCCTTGCATCCCGTAGCCGCTGCTGCCGTCGTCTCCACCCCTCAGTTGGCGGCGACGGAAGTCCTCCTCCAGAATCTTCGTCCGCACCCACTCGAGCGTCCACAAGCTCTGGTTCTGCGGCAGGCTCAATCCGCTCGTAAATTGAAGCCACGATTCTGGCAGCAGCGAGAGCATCTTCAAGCACTTGGTCTGCTCCGGGTAGGTGATTCCCGCGGTCGCCAACTTCGCGTAGAGGTCGCGCATCTTGTCCAGGACTGGTTGCACCGGCTCTCCCTCGCTCAGGCGCAACGCGGACAGCTCCCTCTCCAGCATCAACGTTGCGACAACGGAGGTCGGGGCGTGCAGCTCCTTCAACACGGTCCACGCCTTCGGACCGCATTCAACCTCCGGCAGCAGGTGCATGACGTGGTGACGCTGGTTCAGCTCCAAACTCTGCGACATCAAATAGTAGCCAGCCGAGGAGCGCTCGTCCCAATCTTCCTGCAGCGTGGGGTCACTCGGTCTAGGCTCCTCCCCAATCATTAGTTTCAGCAAACCGATCTGACGGAAATATAATTGCATTTTCCAGGCCCAATCATCATAGCCCTCACCATTGAACTTCTCGACGGTGAAATTCTTCAGCACCTCCTTGACAAGCGAGCCCTGGTTTGTTCGCGCTCCCCTTGGCGCTGAAAGACCAGAATCTTGGCTGCCGCTACGATCTTGGGCTGAAGATTCACCAGCTCCTGCCGAGGTGTTGCCCGCCATAGCTACCTATAACGAGGATCACTATAACGCGGCTCTGATACCAGCTTGTTGGTGTAAGGGCCTAATAAACTCAAGCTATTAGGACTTAATCAAACTTAAAACCTCTCCTCGGGGTCACCTCCAAGGGTCCCTGGGTGCCTGGTACAAGACCAGCCCCTATCCTCGGGTCCGAGTTTGTAGAGAGAGGGATCAAGAAGGACTTAGTCAAAACAGCAAGAGTACCTTGAACGTCGCGCAGCGTGCCGTGCAGACCGTCGATCGGATTAAGCTGAGAATTCGCTATATCGAAGCTCGCTCCAAGAGCTTTAAAATGAGCCAAGTTGCCTCGCGAAAAGTTCTGCCATTACGAAGTTATGGCTCAGACGGTGTTTGCCTAGCATTAGAGTGCTAGCGTACTAGCGTTGACTCGGGTAGCATTCCGCCAACGAACCGCGTAGAAACGAAATTCCAGCGAGGAAGGAATTCACATGAATCAATTTGACTATATTCAGGTACAAACAGAGAAGGATTAAATAGTTCTAGCTAGCAAGGACCTTGGGAATCAACCTGGGAACAACCAGGGATGATCCCAAATAATTCCAAGCAACAGAACCAACCTGGCTGGACAAAATAGCAGGTGGTAGGTTGGTAAACAACCTCTGGTTCTGTTTTTCCAACCTGGGAAAACAACAACCAGGTTCAGGTTCTAAAAACAGAACCTGTTTTGTCTTTGCCCAACCAGCCAAATGCTGGTTCCGCTGGTTTCCCCTGGCCTTGTAGCATGCAGATACAGACAAACAACATCCAACCTTCACCTAAATTGTACCCCTATAGTGCCTTCCCTGCTACACTATAGTTAACCAAACTGCAAAGCTTCCATCTTGGGTTCCTTTGCGAGCTCGTCCTTTCTGCTTGCACTGTTCATAGCGCATACAATGTTGTGCCGAAGCGCACATTGCGCGAGTACCTGCAAATGCATCAAGCGAAAAAATGCGAAAGCAAACAAACACACGAACACACCATTCACACGCAAATGCAAACGCACACGCATACTCGTACAAACAGACGGCAGGATGTCCTGCAATGTGCATTTGCACCCAACAGCTTTCGATGCTGAGGGCCGCCCAGTGAAGTTTGACACCTGGCTCGATGACCTGCACCTCTTCCTACAGCTCACTGCCAAGGAGGACATCTCACTGTACGATCATGCCCTCGGCCATACTACTGCCCCTCCTACTACTGCTGACAGCACTGCCCGCTCGCAGTGGCAGACTCGTGACGCCCACGCTCGCTTTGCTATTCGCAACTCCCTGCCGATAGATGAGCGCGAGCACTTTGGCCAGCATAAGACCGCTAAGGAACTGTACACTGCTGTCGTTGCTCGCTACTCCTCACCTGCTTCTGCCACGCTAGGCCGCCTCTCACTCCTCTACCTGTTCCCCGACCTGGCCTCCTTTCACACAGTTGCTGACCTCATCACCCACCTCAAGACTAGTGAGGCCCGCTTCCGCGCTGCTATGCCCGATGAGTTCCTTGCTAGGAACCCCCCCCCGCTCTGGCTCACTCTTTACCACATCGTCACCCGCCTCCCTGACTCTCTGCGCGCAGTCAGGGATCACTTCCTCGCTCGCTGCCCCACTGAGCTCACCATTGCCCTCCTCGAGAAGGAACTACTTGCAGCTGAGGCGAGCATCGTCGCTGTAGGTGCCTCTCGTGGCGACCCCCGCACCCCTTTCTTTGAGGGGTGTTCCCCTTCCCCCCTTCTTCCCTCTGTAGCCTCTGCTTCTGCTGTCGACCTCCTTGGTGCTGAGAAGGTCGGGGCTGCGTCTGCTCCGAGCGGGCGCCGCAGGAGCAGAGGGGGCAGGGGTGGAGGTGGCGGCGGGGGAGGCGGGGGTGGAGGCGGTGGGAGTGGAGGTGGGGCTATAGAGGCTAGTGGCAGCAGTGGGGGTGGTGACGGCAGCGGCGGGGGCGGTGGCAGGGGCGGGGGCGGCAGCGGGGGCGGCGGTGGTCGTGGCAGCGGCAGGGGAGGAGGTGGTCGAGGAGGTGGCGGCGGCGGTGGTGGTCGTGGAGGCGCTGGCGGTGGTCTGAGCCAGCAGCACACTCCGTCGCTCCAGGAGGCCCGTGAGTGGTATTCGCAGCGCGGGGGGGCGGGTGGCTTTAGCTGCACGTACGTCATCCGCACTGGTGACCGCACTGGTCAGACGTGTGGGAGGCCGCACCCCACGCAGCGCTGTTTCTCGAGCCTTGGCGACGCTTGGCGCGCTCAGTTCCCTGATGCCACTGAACTGCCCCGCTGGGCTGATCTGATGAAGAAGGGAGTTGATATCTGGGCTCTAGACTTTGATGCTATTCTCACTGCCATGTATGTGATGTTTACTAGTGGAGAGGGTGCTCAGTACCTGCGTGTTCCGCCCGATCCGGGCATTCCGACCAGTGAGGCTGCCGCTCTAGGTGCTAGTGAGACTGCCACTGCAGGTACTCGCGTGTCTGCTACCTCAGGTGATGGTGAGGCTGCTGCTCTAGGTGCTAGTGAGTCTGTCCCCCCTGGTACTGAGTCGACTGAGGCACTGCACACCTTCACCCTGGACTCAGGTGCTTCTCGCTGTTTCTTTCGTGACCGCACTGCCCTTGAGCCGCTTGCTCGGCCAGTTGCTGTCTCCCTCGCTGACCCCTCTGGGGGTCCGGTCATTGCAACCTCCTCCACTGTTCTTCCCTGTCCTGCGGTCCCGTCGGGCACACTGTCAGGTCTCCACCTCCCCTCGTTCTCTACGAACTTGGTGGCGGGTTGTGCGCTCCAGGACGGGGGTGTTCACCAGTTCACCCCTGCCTACGAGCGCGTGACACACTGCACGTGTGCTCGGACGGGCCGTCACCTGGCTACCTTCACTCGGCAGCCGGGGTCGGACCTGTACACACTGACCACTGAGTCCCCTCAGGTAGCTGCGTCTGCGTCTGCGTCTGCGTCAGGTCAGCTGTCGGCCCCCTGCTCGTGTCGCTCTCTGGCGCACGAGACCGTCCTCTGGCACCACCGACTTGGTCACCCGTCTGTGCAGCGCCTTCGTGCCATGCACAAACGGTACCTTGTCTCTGGTCTTCCCAGGGTTCTCCCTCCCCTCCCACCCTCGCCTGCTCCTCCCTGTCTTCCCTGTGTCGAGGGGCGGCAGCGCGCCGCTCCTCACTCCTCCTCGTTTCCCCCGACGACTGCTCCCTTGCAGACGCTCCACATGGACGTGTGAAGCCCAGCCCGCGTCCGTGGACAGGGTCAGGAGAGGTACTTCCTGATCGTTGTTGACGACTACTCGCGCTACACCACGGTCTTCCCCTTGCGCACCAAGGGTGAGGTCCCTGATGTCTTGATCCCTTGGATCAGCAGAGCTCGTCTCCAGCTCAGCGAGCGTTTCCGCTCGGACTTTCCTGTCCTGCGTTTGCACTCTGACAGAGGTGGTGAGTTCTCCTCCGACCTCCTGGCAGCCTACTGTGCGGAGCACGGCATTGAGCAGTCGTTCACGCTTCCGGCCTCTCCACAGCAGAATGGGGTTGCTGAGCGCCGCATTGGCTTGGTCATGGAGGTCGCTCGTACCTCCCTGATCCATGCGGCTGCTCCCCACTTTCTGTGGCCGTTTGCGGTCCGATACGCTGCGCATCAGCTCAACCTCTGGCCCCGTGTCTCCTTGCCGGAGACTTCCCCGACACTGCGGTGGACGGGAGAGGTTGGCGATGCGTCACGTTTTCGGGTCTGGGGATCTCGAGCTTTTGTTCGCGATACGTCCGCGGACAAGCTCTCCTCCCGCGCTGTTCCTTGTGTCTTCCTTGGCTTTGTCCCGGACGCGCCTGGTTGGCAGTTTTACCACGTCACCTCGCACCAGGTTCTGCCTTCTCAGGACGTCACTTTTGACGAGTCCGTCCCCTACTACCGCCTCTTCCCCTACCGCACTGCCCCGCTCCCCCCCCGCCTCTCTTCCTCGCGCCAGGTGCTGCTGTGGTAGACCCCCTCCCCCCTCAGGGTGCCGCTCCCTCAGGTGTGTCCCAGGTAGACCCGGTTGAGCCTGTCGAGGTAGCTGTCGACTCTCGTCCTGCTAGGGGTGCTGAGCCTGAGCGTGAGGAGCCTGGCGGTGCTGAGACTGAGGGTGCGGTGCCTGGGGGCACTGAGCCTGGGGGTGCTGAGCCTGGGGGTGCTGAGCCTGGGGGTGCTGAGCCTGGGGGTGCTGAGCCTGGGGTTGCTGAGTCTGGGGGTGCTGAGTCTAGCGGTACTGAGCCTGGGAGTGCTACAATTGGAGCCCTCTCCTCACAGCAGCTGCAGGAGAGGTACCTACAGTACTGCAGCCTCCGGAGAGGTGCTGCTGGAGCTGGTACCAGTACTTCCCCTCCTACCCGGGAGCTCCCCTCCCTTCAGCGGATCCGAGAGTGGTACACGCGGCGCTGCAGTCTTCGGAGTGGCGCTCCTGGTGTTGCGGACCCTGGCGTTGGAGCTACTGCTGGTGCTGAGGACCCGGGCGGTGGAGCTGCTGCTGGTGCTGAGGACCCGGGCGTTGGAGCTGCTGCTGGTGCTGAGGACCCGGGCGGCAGAGCTGCTACTGGTGCTGTGGACACGGGCGTTGGAGCTGCTACTGGTGCTGAGGACCCGGGCGTTGGAGCTGCTGCTGGTGCTGAGGACCCGGGCGGTGGAGCTGCTGCTGGTGCTGAGGACCCGGGCGGCGAAGCTGCTGCTGGTACTGAGGACCCTGACGCTGGTGTCTCTGCTGGTTCTGGAGACGCTGCGCGGCCGCGACCGTACTTCGTCCCGCTCCTTCAGCAGGTTCTTGGTCAGACTCCTCCTCCTTGTCCTCCTTCCTCCTTAGAGTGTCCTCCGCCTGTCCAGTCGCAGTCACAGTTACCGCCTGCCTTGCCTCTCCCTGGTCCTTCTCCTTACACTGGTCCTACAGGGGGTCTTGTTGGTGTAAGGGCCTAATAAACTCAAGCTATTAGGACTTAATCAAACTTAAAACCTCTCCTCGGGGTCACCTCCAAGGGTCCCTGGGTGCCTGGTACAAGACCAGCCCCTATCCTTGGGTCCGAGTTTGTAGAGAGAGGGATCAAGGACTTAGTCAAAACAGCAAGAGTACCTTGAACGTCGCGCAGCGTGCCGTGCAGACCGTCGATCGGATTAAGCTGAGAATTCGCTATATCGAAGCTCGCTCCAAGAGCTTTAAAATGAGCCAAGTTGCCTCGCGAAAAGTTCTGCCATTACTAAGTTATGGCTCGGACAGCGTTTGCCTAGCGTTGGAGTGCTAGCATACTAGCGTTGACTCAGGTAGCATTCCGCCGTCGAATAGCGCAGAAACGAAATTCCAGCGAGGAAGGAATTCGCTTGAATCAATTTGACTATATTCAGGTACAAACAGAGAAGGATTAAATAGTTCTAGCTAGCAAGGACCTTGGGAATCAACCTTGGAACAACCAGGGATGATCCCAAATAATTCCAAGCAACAGAACCAACCTGGCTGGACAAAATAGCAGGTGGTAGGTTGGTAAACAACTTCTGGTTCTGTTTTTCCAACCTGGGAAAACAACAACCAGGTTCAGGTTCTAAAAACAGAACCTGTTTTGTCTTTGCCCAACCAGCCAAATGCTGGTTCCGCTGGTTTCCCCTGGCCTTGTAGCATGCAGATACAGACAAACAACATCCAACCTTCACCTAAATTGTACCCCTATAGTGCCTTCCCTGCTACACTATAGTTAACCAAACAAAACAGTACAATTCCGAGTTGGATAGAACTGAATCTGCGCAATCAACTCAACCGAACTGCAAAGCTTCCATCTTGGGTTCCTTTGCGAGCTCGTCCTTCCTGCTTGCACTGTTCATAGCGCATACAATGTTGTGCCAAAGCGCACATTGCGCGAGTACCTGCAAATGCATCAAGCGAAAAATGCGAAAGCAAACAAACACACGAACACACCATTCACACCCAAATGCATTCGCACACGCATACTCGTACAAACAGACGGCAGGATGTCGTGCAATGTAAATTTGCACCCAACACACTCCCCCTCAGCCTGCCGGCTGCATCCCCATCATTCCATGCTAGTTCATGCTCATTCCACTCATGCGCACACAACGCCAATGAGGCTCATCCGCAAGCCTCTTGGTGAGAAAGTCTGCTGGCTGCTGGTGAGTCTTGATGTAGATCGGATGCACCGTCCCCCTCTTCACCTCCTTACGCAGCCAGTGCCACTTGATACGCATGTGCTTGTTCAGCCCATGAAGCACAGCGTTTCTGGCCATCCCAAGAGCCCCCTTGCTATCACAAAACAGCGGCGTAGCAACTTTCTGCTCCTGGCCAATCTCCTCTAACAGCCTCCTCAGCCAAATCACCTCCTTCACCCCATGGAACATCGCCATGTACTCTGATTCTACGGAAGAGAGTGCCGTCTCCGTCTGCTTCTTGGACCTCCAACTAACAGGTCCTCCCCCAACTACGCAGATGTATCCTCCCACAGATGAGGAATCCTCCTTCTCAGAAGCCCACGTAGCATCGGTAAAGCAAGTGAGAAATAGCTTGCCTTCTCCAAGCCTCTCCCCCTTCTCTTTCAGCACCTCCACCCCTTTCTGCTTCACCTGTGCAGATGCGGAGTATTGAACTCCAATGCTTGGGTGAGAGTTCAGGTACTTCACCACACGCTCAGCTGCATCCACCTGCTCCTCTGATGGATTCTGCACCACCCTAGCCAGCTGCCCAACCGAGAAAGAGATGTCGGGCCTCGTGTGAACTGCTGCGTACAAGAGGCTGCCCACCAAGGACTGAAATTGCTGCTGCTCTTCAGCTTCAACCCCTTCATCCTCTGCAGCCTTCACAAGCTTGAATTCTGCTGGCAGGGGAGTTGCAACCTTGCGCTCATTCTCAATCCCATACTTCTCCCCCAGCTCCTTGATGAACTTCTCCTGGTGCAGCTTCAACCACCTGTGATCTGGATCCCTCTCCACGTGCATCCCGAGGTAGTACTTTACCTCCCCAAGGTTCTTGCACTTGAAGTTTTCCATCAGTTGCTGCTGCACTTTCTGGATCTCCTTCATGCTGCTGCTGAAGAGAAGAATGTCGTCCACATAGACCAGAAACAGCACCAGCTTCTCCCCCTCGCCCTTGAGAAAGAGGCTCTCATCACAGCTGCTGGTCCTGAATCCCATCTCCTCTAAAACAGCTGCCAACTTCTGGTACCAGCAGCGTGGCGCCTGCTTCAAGCCGTAGATGGACTTGTTGAGCTTGCACACCCTGCCCGTACCATCCTCATACCCAGGCGGCTGCGTCATGTACACATCCTCCTCTAAAATCCCATTCAGGAATGCCGTTGAAATATCCATCTGAATGATGAATTTCCCACTAACAGCTGCATCTGCCAACAAGACACGGAGGGTAGGGGGTTTGGCAGTGGGAGCAAAGATCTCGTTGAAGTCCTGCTTCTCCTTCTGCATAAACCCCTTCGCCACCAGCCTACTCTTGTAGATGGTGACCTGCCCCTTGTCATCGGTCTTGATCCTCAGCACCCACTTGCATTGTATCGCTTTCTTCCCATCAGGCAGCACCACCAGATCCCATGTCCTATTCTCCAGCAGACTCTGGTACTCAGCATCCCTAGAAGCCAGCCACTTGTCCCTATCTGGTCCAGCTAATGCCTCCTCCATGCTAGCTGGTTCCTCTGGTGCAGGGGCAAGAAAACAGTACGCAGGCTCATCCTCCTCATCCGGGTCATAGCCATGAGGTAGAATCAGCAATGCCTCTTCGGTCCCTAGCTGCTGCTCTGCTGCATCAGTTCCTGCAGTCAGCTTCTTAGTAGCCATACGGGTACGTCCTGGCCTGGAGACGGGT